TTTTCATTTTAATATGTTACATTCTACTTTTAGATTATCATCAACACAAGGGGGTTCTCAGTGGGTATGAAAAAAAGGTTTGGGGGTTCATGAGCCACTGCTTTATTGTGTCCTGTCTTCTCCTGAGTCCAAATTCTGCTACTCACATCACAGTATGCTCTGATCAGTCATAGACCCTGCAGACTAAGAAACAATCCATCCAGCCGTCAGCGCTCACGGAGCATTGCTCGGCAGAGAAGAGCACCTCCTGAAGGAGGTTATGAACTCTATTCAGAAACTTTCCATGACCATGAACCACTTTGCCGCAGAAGTCATCAACTGCTACAATCCATCCCTGAACCTCGAATAGGGGAGTAAGCGTTTCACCTGCTACTGCTTCGCTTTTCACTGGGAACTCAGCATTCTGTCATCTGAGTATTATTCCGGGAAGGTCGGCGCTTGTGGCGAATTCCTGCTCAACTATTCCTTGGTTTTCAACCAGGAACAGAGCTTATTGGACGATCGTGCCAACTTAGCTTTTGTTCTTAACTGGCTTTGGAATTGGTTCGATTCCTTGTGGGAATCAAAGTCAGAGACATGAGAATCATTTTTACCTCATTTTCTTATGAGATGCGTCGAGTTGATGGCAAATGGCTAATGTCATGACATCAGGGTGCTCAGTCAGCTGCCGACTACATCATTGAGTTCAGGATTATGGCCTCTGAGAGTGGACAGAAGGAAGTCGGGCAAATAAAAAATTGATGGTTACCCAAACGCTAGATCTGCCCGGCCCTTCTCTCCTCATGCCTCCTCGACTGATCACCAAGCCTTCGACAAGCCCAAGACACTCGCCGCCTCCGGGGAAGAACCAGCCTCTCCCAGAAGGACGCACTTGGCAGGTTTCGCAGGGTTTTTGCATTTATTGTGGAAAGTCCGGTCATTTAATCAGGCAGTGCCCACTCCAACACAAGAATTCCCTTTCATCAACCTTCTCTGTTGAGTAGCTTGGCTACCACTGTCGCCTGCCTTAATTCACTAATAACTCAAGTTTTAATAGATTCAGGGACAGACACCAATTTTATTGATCGAAATGTTGTTAATGTTGTTCCTCATCCTCCCTTCACCTCTGTGTACCCTCTGCCCGTCTCAGCACGATGGGGTGCAGAGCTTTCAGCCACTCTGCCCCCAAACTCTGGAACTCACTTCCACCCAACATCCGTAATATTGATTCTGTTCCCACATTCAAATCCCATCTCAAAACCCACCTATTCAAAATCGCATACTCAATTTAAATTTATCTCTTCTTTTATTATTGATAATTTTATCTGTGGTTTTATTGTTCTTTGTTTTATCCTTGTAAAGTGTCCTTGGGTGTTGTGAAAGGCGCTTATAAATACAATATATTGTTATTATTAATGCTATCTTCTCCCTGTCCCAGTTAGGCCAGTTCCATTGACATGTGCCGCCTAAAGACTATTACACACCAGATGGTTTTCCATTCCCTCACCATTTCGGGTAACCATCAAGAGCATGTCACGTTTTTGGTCATCTCTTCTCCTTCTTCCCTTATTGTTCTTGGGCTACCCTGGTTAAAACTTTATAACCTGCTCATAGATTGGGTGTTCGCAGCTATCGTTAGTTGGAGCACTTTCTTTCACGCTCATTGTCCGTGTTCCGCGTCTCTAGCATCCCACCCTTCTCCTTCCAATCCTTCCTTAGTTACCCATGAGTATCATGATTTGGAAACGTTTAGTAAGTCATGGCCGCTTTACCTTCCACCTCACTGACTCTTTGACTGTTCCATCGTCTTACTCCCCCAAACCCCCAAGAGAGGGAGACAATGGAGAAGTATTTCAGTGACTCTTACTGCCGGTATAATCCGTCCTTCCTCTTCTCTCAGGGATGGATTCTTCTTGGTGGACAAAAAAGACAAAACCCGAAATGACATCACCATATAAAATAGGTATCCACTCCCACTCATCGTTTTCTTTGTGCCTTTCCACCAAGCCGCCGTTTTTAATAGATCTTTGTAATGCTTTCCATTTGGTGAGTTGAAAATAGCCTTTACGATGACCCTTGGTCGCTTTGAATATTTGGTGATGGCTGTTGGTCTCACTAATTGTCCCGCTGTGTTTCAGGCACTCATTAACGATGTTCTCTGAGATATTCTTCACCAATTGGTGTATATTTATCTTTATGACATTTTGATTTTCTCTCAAACCCTGGAAGAAAATGGTGAGCATGTTAGATTAGTTCAACAAAGCTGTCGAGAGAAAAAACTATTTTTCAAAGTAGAAAAATGGGAGTTTGGTGTTCCTTAAATTAGGTTTCTTGGCGACATCCTTACCCAGGGCCTGCTTAGTCCAGATCCCGCTAAGATTCGGGCATTGGATAAATGGCAAGTTCCTGCAAGCAGCTACAACAGTTTCTGGGGTTTACAAACTTCTACAGGAGGTTCATCTGTGACTACAGCTAGATCGCCCTTCCTCACACCCAACTCACCTCTGCAGCCTCTCCATTCGCATGAACTCCCAAAACTGATGCTGCCTTCAAACACCTCAAAAAAACTGTTCACTTCTGACCTGGTCCTCATAATCCTAATACTGCCCTCTAGTTCATCATCGAGGTGGAAACTTCTAAGGCCGGGTTTGTTGCTGAGCTCTCTCAGGGAAGTTCCAGGGACCAAAAGGTACTTGTGCATTCTCTTCATGCAAACTATTCCCCGAAGAGAGAAATGATGATGTCGACAACCATGAACTATTAGCTCTGGTGCCCGCCCCTCAGGAGTAGAGACAATGGCTGGGGGGATCTGAGATACCCTTCATAGCAGATCACAAAAAACTCACATCTGCAAACTGCCAAGTGCCAAAATTGCTCTCAGGCATGCCATCCCAGTGTGAAACAAACACTTCAGTTCTTGCGACTATGTTTGTGGTGGCCCCGGATGGCCCAGGATATCAGGGAGTTTGAGGCCGTCTGTCTCATCTGGTCCTGAGTGAAGTCCTCTCACCATCGTCCAATGGGTCTCCTGCAACCTCTGCCCATCCTCAGCTATCCCTGGTCCCGCCTATCAATCAATTTCTTCTGTGGTCTGCCTCCCTCCAATGGAAACATGGTTATATTGAAAATGGTTGACCGATTCTCTATGATGGCTCATTTCATTCCAATATCCAAACTTTCCTCCGCCCTTTAGACTGCCGACATCTTGGTCAACCACGTCTTCAACCTCCATAGCATCCCCATTGACATTGTTTCTGACCGGTGGCCCCAATTCACATCCCAGGTATGGAAAGCTATGCTCGTAGGCCATCCCCAAGCCTGTCTTTCGGTTATCATGCCCAGACCAATGGACAGTCAGAAAGAGCAAATCAGGATCTGGAATCAGCCTTAAGGTGTGTATCCACCATCCAGCCTGCTGGAGCTGACATCTTCTATGGGTCGGATATTCCCAAAATTCCCTCACCTCCTCATCCAGGGTCATGGCTCAGTTTATGGTCGTCTAGTGGTATCAACCCCCACTGGTCCCTTCCACGGAGCAAGAGGTAGCTGTTCCCTCTGTCTGTGGCCGCCCCAGTGTAATGCCGTTTGGAGGCATGCTAGAGCTGCCCTCTCCCCCCACAGCCGATCACAACCGTCAACTGGCTGAGAGGCATTTGCCTCCTGCCCCGGACATTCGCCCAGGGCAAATTGTTTGGCTATCCACCCATGACTTTCCGCTCTAGACTTATTCCCATAAACTAGCCTTCGGGTTCAGTGGACCATTTGAAATTGACAGAGTCATTAATCCAACTGCCATTCGTCTAAAGCTCCCAATCTTCCTCCAGGTCCATCCAACTTTACATGTGTCTCTCCTGAAACCAGTCTCCTCAGCCCTCCTTCCTAACTCCCCAATCCTGAACATTGACGGTCACCCCACCTACAATGTCCTTTGTCCACACTTTTGTCATTGTTCTGTTTGGTTTCTGTGTCACTTTTGTTCTTATCAATTTTGTTATTATTTGTTATTGTTATCCTTCTCTACGTTTGTGGGATCCCATTCTTTCTGGGGAAATCCGGAACTTGACACTTGGGCATGTGCTATTGTGGTTAAAGGCTAAGTCCAAGTACCAATTCACAGTGGTAATCTTTAATTGCCCTGGCCAACTTTACATCATCCGCCTGTGGAAATCTAGTTGCAGTTCCTTCTAAACGTACTTTGAGGCCTTTCTGCTTCTACCATGTCACAGATTGTGCGCCCCTTGCACACCAATTTAAAGGGAATGAGAGGAGTTGCTTTGGCTGCGAAGCAAGCCGGCTGTGTCCACGCCCACAATGGCGTAAACTCCCCTTTTCTATCCACCGTGTGCTACGAAAACACTAACACTATACGCCAGATTAGCATTTGGCAAGAAGATAAACCCTTGGTGTTCAAATATGCTTGATTGATGTTTGGTGTTTACAGTGTACTTTTTTACACTACACAGTGGATCCTCACATACTTGCGGTTCAGCACCCCTGGATTCGCCTAGTTGCAATTTTTTTTTCAATATTTCATTTTAGTTTTTTGTGCAACCACTGAAAATATTGGAAGTTTATTAGAATTTCTGAAGATTTTTGAGGGTTTTCCAATGCACTTTTAAAGAGCATAAATTATGAGCAAACATTTGCTATTTGCGGGGCGGCCCTGTCCCTATCCCACCGTGAATATCGAGGGTCCACTGTAGACGCTGAATAACAAAAATTCAGGAGGAACTGAGAAGTCAAGCCCAATCCTGATGAATCCATCAAGAGACATTTGCGCTATAAAGTATCATCAATAAAACTACACAACATTTATGTTAAGTGTTTCTCATTTCGTGAAAGGCTGTTGGATAATTAAAAGCCACCATAATATGAAACAATGCACTTAGTTTTATTCACTCCAAGGTACATACATGTTTTGCATTTGCATGGTCAATTGTGACAAACCCGCTCATTGTAGGTTGATCAATAATTGTCATCAAGCTTGTTGGTCCTCTTTTGTTTTTTTTTTGTGGGTGTAGGTCACAGTGGAGTAAACCAGCTTGGAGGTGTCTTTGTTAATGGGAGACCTTTGCCTGATTCTACCAGGCAGAAGATAGTGGAGCTAGCCCACAGCGGAGCTCGACCATGTGACATATCCAGAATTTTGCAGGTATACTCTAGGTACAGTGGTCACATCCTGTTCGTGTATAATTTACTATTTACTGAAGTTAGTCATGCTATTTCAAATTACTCAACTATTTGTTGCGTCTTTTCCTACCGCAGTTTGTTTTGCAATCATCTACCAAACACTTTTTTTCACAGCAAACATCATATGTGTTAAATTTGTATCTTGTCCAGGTATCTAATGGCTGCGTGAGTAAGATCTTGGGCCGGTATTACGAGACAGGTTCTATTCGTCCTCGAGCAATTGGAGGAAGTAAACCCAGGGTAGCCACTCCAGAAGTGGTAGGCAAAATTGCTCTGTACAAGAGAGAGTGTCCATCTATCTTTGCCTGGGAGATCAGAGACAGGCTGTTGGCAGAAGAAGCCTGCACTAACGACAATATACCTAGTGTAAGGTTCTATTTTTCCACATTGTTGATGACAGGCCTGCCTTATCAAACTTGAATATTATATATTGAATATTTCTGTCAATGTTTTTGTCATCCTAATATCGATTACCAATGACTTATTTTCCGTTCGAGCCAAGAGTTGCCTTTTCTCTGGAGACATTTAAAAAAAGACCACATTTGTAGGCATCGGTGGCATTTGATTGTTGACAGTATGTTTTAACCATGTAAGGCACTTCCTAATGTACCTTTTAACATGCAGTATCTTCACATTAAAATACCTTAAATTGGCCCTTATTGCTGCTTAGACAAGCGTGGATCATAACAGAGTACTACATGTGTGTCATTGTGGCATTTATGTAGACTATCTAATTTATATTTTATCAATGGATACTGCTGCAAATAAGCATTTGGCTTGAATCACGAGCATGCCTGAAAGCAAACCTTGACTCGTCCAACAGTGCTATAACATAGTATCATATTGTACAATATAATGGTAATTGCAGCTTTGCTGCCGCAGCTTTTGTTTGTTGATCCAGGTATGTCAAAATGTTCAGCAAGAATCAGAATCAGATTTATTGTCCAACGATGCAAAAAAACACAAGGAATTTGGTCATTATTAATGGTTGCATTTTGTCCTTTGGATCAGGTTTCTTCAATTAATCGAGTACTCAGGAACTTGGCCAGTGACAAGCAGCAAGTCGTGAATGAGGGGATGTTTGAAAAGCTAAAAATGCTCAATGGACAAGCTACCTGGGGGGGGCGCACTGGCTGGTACCCTGGGTCGACACTCACTATTACAGGTAAGGAACTGACTCTTACTGCTTATAAGCTTGCAGTGATACTGTAATTACCACTCCAGTTCTCCAAAATGCAAAGCAGACTTGGAAAGGTAAACTCTTGGCGACCTTCACTGGTGAGGGTGGTTGTGTTCTGGGTTTGAGTCAGTAAGGAGGTTGCTGGTCTTGGCCTTGAGTTTCCTTCCACAGTCAGGGCAGGTCATTTTATTTTAAACATTTGAAAGAGATTTTCAAGGCTATATTTTTGTGACCATTGCAAGTCTGGCGCCAAACCTGCGCAGGGCTGGGCTTTACTATGTTTTTGGTATTTTCAAAGAGGCAGGCAACTTGCCGCAGTTCAAAACGGTGGCTTTGCATCGTGTTGCAACACAACAACCACAACAATGAATATAGTGTGTTGTTAAATGAATAGTCTAATGAACGAGCAGCTTGTTAAGAATACACTCGGTTGCAAGGATAGTGTTCTTCTGCATAGCTATGTATATACACACACACACATACACACACACACACACACACACACGCACACACACACACACACACACACACACAGACACACGCTCTTCAGACGTGTTGGAGCTTGAATTGTTGGAGCCCCTTTGCTTCCTCCAAAGAGACCTAATTGCTGTGGGAGCTTGCCGCTCCTCCTCTTTCAGTAGCACTTTGGGATTCGAACAGTGAGATAAAGTCATCAGTCTGTTGTATGTCTGTGCCATTGTGTGTGTGTGTGTGTGTGTGTGTGTGTGTGTGTGTGTGTGTGTGTGTGTGTGCGTGTGTGTATGTGTGTGTAGGTGTGTAACAGGGAGAAAATAGGTGCTGTTTTGCACCATTTGTGTCTGTTTCTGCCTGACTGACTGTGACACTGAGCAATGGCTTTATTCTCTCTTGCATTCTATGTCTGCTGGGAATAATGAATAATTAGGCTAGGACCACAAATAACATGGATTCCACAGGGAGCTGGAGTCAAGCTCCAATCTGTTTAGAAATTACATGTTGGTGATCAACTGAGCTGCTCTTATTCCTGACTCACTTGATTGTCTTTCTTGAAAAGACTCTAAATATCCGAGACACTGGATACTTTTGCTGACAGAGAATGGTGGATTCTCTGACGTCAAACAAAATCCTTTTTTGGATGCTGAGCTACCTTCAATTTATTCAGATATTTTTTCCCCTCCAAAATTATGGAGTTAAAAAGAAATTGACTTCAAGGAAAGAAAAGAATATGAAAGCATAACAGTGTGAATAGACGCAAAAGCGGCTGAAATGAGTTCACTACATTGGTAGTCAGGGTAAGGACTTTGGCGAGTCATGAGAGAACTTCTGCTCATAAACCTCAAGAGGAGTCATTTAAGATATTTCTTGGCCGTTCAATCAGCTACCAAAAAAGCAACGTCTTTTTCCATACTATGCAGCGTGATGGTAGTGGGAAGTTTGAAACATCTGCTATTCTTCTTTCCAGAAAATATGTGTTTGCAAGCCGAAGGAGCGGAAAACACCATCTCAGCTAATTCCAACAGTGAAGATTCAGAGGAGACTCAAATGAGGCTTCAGCTGAAGAGGAAACTACAGAGAAACAGAACATCTTTCTCCCAAGACCAGATAGAAGCGCTTGAGAAAGGTGCGCACCAATTTATGCAGCAGTTCTTATTTACTTTCAGTGCATTTATCAAGTTTTGCGATGTATTACACGTCATACACTGCATGATCATTGCAGTCTGTCTTGTCTGTCACCAAAATTACCACCAAGAATGTGTATGACCAAATACTAGACTATTTACTGTGTACGGTCAACAGTACACAGTAAAAAAATATATTTTTCTCTCACCCAGCAAATATATGGTCACATACCTATTATAACCATCTGCCCCAGTTTCTAGTAAATAAAAAATGTCTAGAGAATGATCATGATGATGTCACAGCTTTTCAGAAATGGTAAGAGTGGAATATTCAAATAAACTCAGCCCATGAAATGGTGGCATTAAAAAAACAACAACAAAGTGCTTTCATGTGAACGCCTTCATTTGCACTTCCAGTACCTCATGATCTTTTTGTTCCCGTTTTAAACAAGAATGGGGCCATGAAAACTGAATTCATTCTTTTGTACCCAAAGTTGAGCCAGCCCTTAGGATGAAGTCATATTTTAAGGACACTTAACATTCAATTAAACACAAAAAGAGCGTCTGATCAAGATTGCAATTGAAACGGCTGTAGAAATAACCTGTTGGCGATCCCCTATTGCTGTGACCATTAAGATGCCATCAACTTGATTTATGTTGCAGAATTTGAGCGAACTCACTATCCAGATGTGTTTGCCCGAGAACGTCTTGCCAACAAAATTGACCTACCTGAGGCTCGGATACAGGTATGCATTTTGGTCTACACACTTCCGGGTAGTGCTAACTTTTTTAAACATGAGTGTATACTGGGTGAGCCTGTGTTGTCAAAACACATAAAGTAGCTAATTTCCTCTGTGAAGCATGAGGCAGGAATTTGGTAAAGACAGTGTGTGCGCTTGTTGGTTGCTTGTTTACCTTTGTTAAATTTGGACTTTTTCACGACACTCAAAAGTGGGTGGGGAGAGGCAAGTCTGAGGTTCCCTGCAACCCATCCCCTCAAGAAAATGGATGGGTGGATGACAATCACCCCCCAAAAATTGTGGCCAGGTCATGCATTGCCCAAGGAAGAACTCATTTAAATTGGTGCCAATCCAGATAAAGATAAAACACGAAGAATACAATACAATACATCCTGATCAAACTGGATGATGAATTGATGACCCTGACGCAAGTCAACGAACTACTTATCCAACAAAAAGAACTCTTCACAGCACTCATGCAGCAACAACAGGATCACTTCAAAGGATCTGTAAAGATGATACTGGACTCAACAAACACGCGACTCGACAATTTTCCAGGGAAGTACAAGAACTGAAAACAAGTCTCAATTACACCCAAAAGGAGGTCGACGACATCAAAAAACAACAAACGAATGGATTTGACAATTTCAAAACCATGCAAACTGAAATATACAAAGTATGTGACAGTATGCTGGCTTTAACCGACAAGATGGACATCTTAGAGGGACTATCCAAAAGAAAAAACTTGATAATCGATGGAATTGAAGAAATGCAAGGAGAAACGTGGACGGAAACGGAGCAAAAAGTGCAAACAATCTTCAAGGACCAATTTCAATTAAAGGAGACAATCGAGGTGGAAAGAGCCCACCGCACAGGGAGACACGAATCGGGAAGACTTCGACCAAGGCCAGTAGTGGTGAAACTTGAAAAATATAAGGACAAAACAATGATACTACAGAGAGCAAAATACTTAAAAGGTACAAATACTTAAAAGGTACCTAAATTTACATTAACGAAGATTATACAGATGTTGTACGTCAAAAAAGAAAAGAACTGCTTCCAAAACTAAAAGCAGCACGTGAAAGAGGGGAAATTGCCTACCTGAGGCACGACAAACTCATCGTCCACCCCCGCACCAGTACTCCAATTCCACGGGCTCGACCTCAACATGCTGAGAGCTGATGATCACCAGACAATAACTTTGACTTAATGGATATCGGAAACATACAACACAAACATGGACTTTAAAATCTTTGATTATGCTGAACATAAGACATTCGACCCAGAGAACAACTGGGATCCAGACAATAATTTCTTCAATTACAATTACAGCATTACAAACTCCGAGTATTACACTGACAAACAATTCAACACAAATGTTGAACTGAAAAACACGTTTTCAGTGATACACATAAATAGTAGAAGTCTTTATAAAAATTTCACCAAAATCAAAGAATATTTGACTACATTTAATAAATTTACAATAATTGCTGTGTCAGAAACTTGGCTTGATGATGAAAAAACAAGTGAAATGAAAATTTATGGATATGAAATGTATGCAACTCATAGGGAAGACAAAAAAGGAGGGGGAGATGCAATATCTGTACTATGTAGATAAAACACTGAAATGCAGCAAAATTGAGAGCCTGACAAATACAACAGAGAATCTAATGGAATGTCTAACTCTTGAAATACATATTAAAAATGCATCAAATGTCATTATAAGTTGTGCTTATCGGACCCCAGGATCTTCTCTTGACACATTTAATAAAAAACTGACAGATATGCTGAGTTGTACAAATGACAAGAAAACACGAATAATATGTGGCGAGTTTAACATCGACTTATTAAACCCAAATGGACACAAAAAAACAACAGATTTCATAAATACAATGTATAGCAACGGTCTTTTCCCAGTCATTCTGAGACCCACCAGAATAACAGTTGACACGGCCACATTAATCGATAATATATTTATAAATAAGATTGATCATAAAAAGGAAAGTGGACTTCTCATAACTGACATAAGTGACCATCTACCAGTCTTTGCAGTCTTTCACAATTACTTTGATAGAAAAACTAAATCAAAAACCCATATATCAGAAATAAGAACCCAACATTCCATCGCAGCTTTCCAGCTCGACCTAGACAAGCAAAATTGGTCTGAGGTCAACACAAAGATCCAAATACTGCATTTGACGCATTTCAGTCAACCTTAAACTCATTATATGACAAGCATTTCCCCGTAATTAAGGTCACCAGAAAGTACAAAAACCAAAGTAAGCCATGGATAACAAAAGGCATAGAAAATGCATGTAAAAAGAAAAACAATCTATACAAATCGTCTCTAAAATCCAGAACCAAAGAAGCTGAAACAAAATATAAGATTTATAAAAACAAATTAGTAAACATTATAAGAACCAGCAAGAGAGACCATTTTCATGCATTATTAGAGCAAAATAAAAGCAACACTCAAGAAATATGGAAAATCTTAAATTATCTAATTAGAAATAGCTCTAATAAAGTAGATTATCCGGAGTACTTTATGAAAGATAAAAATACCATTATTGAGGAAACTGCACAAATAGCAAAGGAATTTAATGAATATGTTGTTAATATTGGCAGCAACTTAGCAAAAAAAATTCCTGATCCAATAAATTCTTTTGAAATAGATAAATACATAGAAAAAAATTCTTCCACAATGTTTCTTACTGCTGTGAATCAAAATGAAATATTAAATATTGTAAAAACATATAAAAGTAAAAAATCAACTGACTGTTTTAATATTGATATGACAATAGTAAAACAGATCATAGAAATTGTAGTGCGACCTTTTACATACATATGCAACTTGTCATTTCAAGCAGGTATTTTTCCATCAAAAATGAAAATAGCTAAAGTCATTCCAATTTTTAAAAGTGGAGAAAAAAAATTATTCACAAATTATAGACCAATATCACTGCTACCACAATTTTCAAAAATATTAGAAAAATTATTCTCTCACAGACTTGACAACTTTATTTGCATATAAATGGATTGAAAGTTATTTAGAAAACAGATATCAGTATGTGCAGTTCAATAACAAAAAATCCAACTCACTGAAGATTACCCATGGAGTACCACAGGGATCAGTGCTTGGACCAAAACTATTCATTCTATATATAAATGACATCTGCAGTGTTTCAAAACAATTCAAATGTGTCCTATTCGCCGATGACCAAGTTAAAATAAAGATAAATTCAATTGAAATAGAATGAGTTTAGGAAAATAAGTTTCTTAGACTAGTAATAGATACTAAACTATCCTGGAAGCCACATATAGATAACGTTAAAAGAAAAATATCCAAGACTATCGGGATACTCCACAAAACTCAGAATGTGTTGAATAAGAGTTCATTGTACACATTATATTACTCATTATTTACTCCCATATATGACCTACTGTGTGGAAATATGGGGGAACGCCTGTAAATCAAACACACTCCCTGTCTTAAAACTACAAAAAAAAAGCAATCAGAATCATCAATAGGTCTAAATATATAGAACCCACAAATCCACTATTCATCAAATTAAACACAATGAAATTCTATGACCAGGTTGACTTCAAAATCGCCCAATTAATGTATAAAGCACATAACAATCTCCTTTGCCAAAATATCCAGAAGCTTTTTGAAATTAGAGATAGTTGTTATAATAAGAGGTATTAATCAATACAAAAAATCCAGAACAAGAACAAACATCAAGCAAAGGTGTGTATCAGTAATAGGAGTCAATCTGTGGAATAAGCTTGAGAC